TGTGAGATGACCAAATAGATCGGAGGTTCCAGAAACTCAATATGAGAGGTCCTGCCAAGTGACAATATTGGAACTCAAGTTCTCAAAGAAATGTGAGGTGGTAAAAACTTTGCAGCCATCAGTAATCTCAAATAAAAAAAATGTTGAGGAAAACACGCTCCACTTTGGTTTGGTTAGGTTTTGCACTGAACCTACTTCAACAAAGAATCTGGTGTAAACCACAAAGGAAGACTAAATTTTTAACTTTCGGTAGACGGCATAACATAGATGAGCAGCTTGATATTTTGCCTTATTTTGTTTTGTTTTTGCTTTGCAGTCAAAAACATTCTGCTGACATTTACAAATAATAGGTTTTTGAGTGGAACATATCTGACAATTTAGAAATTCAGTGGTGACTGTTCACCTTGGACTTTTCTCATTGTATCTGTTTGTTTTGTTTTGATTTGGTTTTTTAAATGATTTTTGCTATTTTCCATCAGTGGAAATACAAACAGGTAAGGGAATGAGATCAAACAGCTCCTGGTAAAATTCCTGAAAGATGCTGGTGAAGACTGAGCTCCAGTGTTTTGTGTGCAAGTGTATCCAATAGCAATGTTCCAATTATCTCAGCAAGCAAAAAGCACAGGAAGTGGTTTCCTTTCAGATACTATGCCTGGAAAAATTTTCTGGGTGGATTTTCTTTGTGTTTTCATTGGGCAATAATTTTCCTGTTGGCATAAACTTTGTCGTCTTCATTCACTTCATAGGGAGCCCAGCCCAACTTCACATGTAAATTGAATTTAGAAAAAAAAAATGATTCTCTGGATTCCTATTAACCAAAAAAACAAGTTTTTATTGAATTAAGTTACATAAAATTACTGATATGGAGCTACTTTTTCTTTAAAATTACAATTTCATACATTTCAACCTAATGTATTCCTGATACTCATACTGGCATAAGAATAAATGATATTCCCATTAACATCCTTACAGCCCACTAAGATTCTGAGGTATGTTATCAATTATAAAATATAGAATACAATTGTAGTATGAGATATTGTCATCTAAATTATTTGAAAGTGATAGTATTTTTAAAACATCAGAGTAACCTATGAACCACATACTTTATTAATTTTTGTTTGTTTATACAGGTATTATTAAACGTCTACTATAATATGGTGGTTTAATAATATAGGACTAAAAGCCAAAATTTATACATTTAAATCCTGGCTCCTTCACAACTTAGTGTATAACATTATCCATATTAATTGTTGACTCCATGTGAAATGTTCCTTCTCTATAAAATTGGGGAAATAATAATGACACCCGACCAATAGAACTGTATACATTAAGTAAAACGATAATGTATCCCACAGTACCTGGCTCATAGTAACCACTCAGAAAAAGTGAGCAAAACAGGTGACCCTGCTTTAATGGAGTTTTCAATCTAGTAAGCAAGAGACAAATGATCACAACAGTCGTAAGGTTTGTAAAGGAGAAGTACATAGTGCTACATAGATGTTACTAAGGCTATTCTTGAGGTACTCGGGAAAGGATTTCTTTGGAAAATAAAAATTAAGACCAGGTCTGAAGAATAACAGCAATAAATCAGGTGAAGATTTGATGGAAAGCATTCTAGACAGAGGGAAATCCATGTTCTACATTACGAGAGAGCGTGACACTCAGTTTGGGGAACTGAATATGAGCAGCAAGGCTGAAGTGCCAGAATCTTTGCAGGTGAGGCAGAAGTGGTGACCCAAGCCCATGGGGTCTTTTAAGCCATGTAAAGTACTTTCTGTAGAGTAGAGTAGTAAAGGCATTACCCAACTATGCTGTATAACAGAAAGCTTATTCTTTTTAAAATATCTGGTATGATTTGTTTTACAGCATTTATTTTGCAAATTGTAATGTGTCTTGGCTTCCTGGCAATAGTTATAAATATTTCTAAATGAAGTATATGTGGACAGAGTATTTTCCTAGGTGCAGTTTCTACATTTTAAATACATGCATATACATATATACATACACATGCATACATATATTTTGCCAAAGGTCTCTGATAGCAAAACCATCATACTTGTCTGGGCATCTACATTTAGTATAGTATTCACATGACAGACACCATAATAGTGTCATGACTAGGCCTCATATTTGGAGGAGCCAGTGTGGGCTAGGGATAAGTTTAAAGAAGCAACTATTCTGTCCTATAAAGTCATTACAACTTTTTCATATTTTTGTCCTTTGATTTACCATTATCCGTACTTTGTGACTAACTTATAAACATATATATAGTCTCTGAAGTTAGTTAGCTTAAATGCAAGGTTTGAGGGCACAGTCCTCCAGACTGCCAAGTTTGCTTAAGACTTCTAACAATAACTAAAAGTTCTGAGGGTTCCCAAAACCACCCTGAAGTTTGATAACTCACTGGAAAGACAGGATTCATTGAAAGCTATTACACATATTGTTATGGTTTATTACAAGGAAGGGATACATTAAAATCAGCCAAGGGAAGAAACGCATTGGGCAGAGCTGGGAGAGTTGCAAATGTGCAGAATGTTCTGTTGTTCTCAGGATGCCTTATGCTCCCAGCAAAAATGTGTGACAATATGCATTGAGTATTGTCAACCCAGGAAGCTCATCCAAGACTTGAGTTCCAGAATTTTTACTGGGGTTTCATCATGTGGGCATGATTAACTGATTAGTTGATCGCCCACGTGGTTGTACTCGTCCCTAGCCCTTCTCATTCCTGACATCAGGCTGATATAATGTGGCCCAAGGGGCCCACCACGGGTCACCTCATTGGCATAAACTGTCAGGTGTGGTCCATGAGGCCTACTGTGAATGGCAAAGACACTCCTATCACTCAAGAAATTCAATGATTTCAGAAGTTATCTTCCAGGATCCAGGGACAAAGTTTAAATCTTTCTTTTGGCAAGACCCAACTATGTACTACAAAGGCTACTCCCTTTGACCAAGGTTTTCTTACTGCAAAACAATCATGTTTGTCTGGGCATCTCTATTTAGTATAGCATTCATATGACAAACTCAGCAATAATATTATTATGAATATCCCTCACATTTGAAGGAGACAGTGTAAAGTAGGGGTAGGTTTAAAGAAATAACTAGTCTGTTCTAGAAAGTCACTACATTTTCATATTTTTGTCCCTTTATTTACTATCATCTGTACCTTGTGATGAGCTTGGGCAGTGTTTTCTAGCATAGTTATTAGTTGATGATTAGCTAAATCCACTTCTTTCGCAGGCCAGTCATTTTTTATCAGTATTGTATCCTGAGTAGGTTTTAACTCAATTTCCCAATTTGACCATCAGTATTATTGTTATAACCTTACCAGTAGTACCAGTGTTTTACCATATCATAGTATGGCAGTAGATGTAATCTGAAAAATGAGTCAAAAGATCTGGCTTGTTGCTAGAGTACTACTCAGTCATTAACAATTAGTCCAGCCCATTCTCATATTGTATGACCAAAACGACTCCCAGAGTGATGGCACTCAGGTTTGCAGGCTTCCATTCAAACCTTGTCAGGTTCCAAAAGCAGGAGTGATCTTCACCCTTTCTGTCATCTTTTATAACTGAACTAAGAAACACTATGATCTCATTTTCCAAGCCTCTCTCAAATTAGTAATATAATATCCGATTTCACTCCTTGCATAACCCATTCATTCATTCCCTTACTCAGCTCAATTAACTGTTTAATTTTAAACAGTTAATTTCCTGCTCAATTACTTACTGTTTAATTTTACCCAAACTTTTCCACTTTTGAAAGAGACATGAGGTTTGGCCACTCTGCAGGTCCAGATTACCAGCAGCAATGCTAATCCCATAAGTGCCTCCCTGTCAGTGCACACCCATTCATACAGAGTAGAATTACAAAGGTACATAACTAGTGGGCTGTTGCAAACACTGGACAATACAGCCACATTTTTCACTAACCCCAATTTTACCAGATGGGGTGAAAGGACAACCTACCCCATGAGGTCCTTAGGAATTCTGACATAAAAGCTTAAAGGTATAGTTATAGTTTCTTGTTTAAGGATTATTCCTACTTCTGGCATTCACAGTGGCAGGCCTCATCCTGGCACCACTGCATCGGGTAGAAAAAGGGAAAGTTGAAGTGACATGAGGGATAAAGAAACACTGTAGTAAGATCTGCATCCTCTCCACCTCTCCCTCCCCAGATTCTCCAGAAAACTGGAGGAATATATCTAGTGGAGACCCTCCCATGAACCCCCTCACCCCCTCATGATGAATGTGAGAACATGTTCAGGAAGATGTGTAAGCTAACCCTCCTTGCTTTAATCCAACTCATTTTAGACAACAAATGTTACCATTGCTGATATGGGTTGAATTGTGTCCCCAAATTTTCATGTATTAGAAACTTAATCTGCACAGTGACTGTTAAGGGGGTGGGAAATCCTATTACAGAAATTAAAAGGTGGGGCCCTTGAAGAAGTGATTAGATGATGAGGGCCTCACCCTAGTGAATGGATTAATCCACTGATGGTTTAATGGTGGTCATGGGTGTGGTTCTGACAACCTTAAAAGAAGAGCCAGAGAGGAGGTTAGTCTCTCTCTCTTGATCAGCTATTTCTCCATGTGATAACCTGCATTCCTATAGAGTCACCACCCACCAACAAAGACCCTCACCAGATATGTTACCTGGAATTTGGACTTCCCAGTCTCTGAAACTGTAAACAATAAATATTGTTTCTTTACATATTACCTAGTTTTGGGTATTTCTGTTATAAGCAAAAGAAATGGACTGATACAATTGCTCATTCTAATTCTCTATTAAGCCACTACTCTGAGAATTATATCTCTCTGCCCACTGTGGCACATTAATAACTGTAAAATATGTTCCTTGGTCTGAAAAAATGTATCTTGGCAGCCCAAATTGTTACCGTATCTTCTGTTTCAGTCCTTTTATAGTATTTTGAGCATTTGCTTCTACCACGGCATATAAAAGCCCAGTTCAGAGTGTCTATTCCTGTCAGGACTTACTTGTAGTCTCCAGAGGCTACCAGCATCAGTCCTACTTGCCAGCTATGTGCAGGGCCTTCTCCCCAAGGGATCTCGCCCAAAGCTATCAGTACTCTTCGTCTTTCCTGTTGGCAGACAGAACAGTTCTTACTGGCAATTTGTGCTTCAGAGGGTGTACGAGGACTATGTCTAAGACTCAGCTCATGTTTGCATCGCTGCAGCCCCCAATGTCACTCATTGCATGAACCCAGGTGCCCATCTCAAGCAGGCATACCAGGATATCTACTTGCCAGTTCCAATCACCTTCTGATCCTGGAGGGGTCTTCTTGTGATTGGCATCAACATATCCCACTATAATGTACCCCTTATATTTCCATAGTGATTTTCATAGGACTGTGCCCCACATATGCACCCCTTTAATAGGCCAGTTTTCCATTGCCTTTATGCCTAACCACATGGTCAGAATATTGGCCATCACCCATGAGTTAGTGAAAACTCAAATACAAGGACAAATAGCATGCAGTTCAACCCTCCAACCTGATTTGTTTTTACCTCTTTCAAGTAGGATGCTATCCATTCACCTTGGATCTTCCATCTGTAAACCAAGCAGCTCTTTGTAAATCAATCAGAAGTTGCTTATAGGTACCACCCAAGTGGCAATAGGATTTAGCAGGTACTCAGGTGGTTTCAAAGTTAGCCCTAGGGAAAAAGATGTTCTCTGTTCATGAGTATCTCCTTGCATTCAAACTCTTCTGGGCATTGTCTTCCCCATCAGAGTGTTTCTTTGACATCATCCAAGACATTATGGGTGTTTCAAGATTATTTTATTTTCTTCAGTCATAGGAGCAGTCTCAATTGGCAGAAAATAGCAAGCAAGTTGTTCTTCAAATGGAGATTTCCAGGTCCAAAATACCAATGATCGTTGCTGGGTGGTACTCACAAGCTTTTTCCATAGCCCCAATTTATGTTCCACATAGGGCTACTGTACTGAGAACTTATCCATACCAGCATTTCAGCTTGTATTATATACTATTTCAAATTAACAACCTGTTTGGGCCCAGGCAATATTATTGGCTCCTATTTGGCATGGTCAAATAATATGCGAAAATGGGCAGATTTATACACTTTCCAATTTACAAAACTAGGTAGGAGAAGTGTTCCCCAGTCAGACAGGACATCCATCCTCATAATACATTTAGATAAATGAGATGCGATTGCTCCACATAAAGTCTGTTCAAACATTCAAATTTTCATTCAACCTTCCATCTTAATTCAATTAACCGTTGTATTGCTATAATCTTCCCAATCTAATCATAGACTCAGCACTCAACAACAGGTTTTCGACCTATAGTGCATGGGGTTTCGTTGTCAAGGAGTTCCAGACGTGTCACTTCTCTATCTCTTGGCCATTTTACTCACTCGTGTGCATATGGCCTTGGGTCCCCAGATGGGGGTTGGGCCAAGGGACATGGGCTTTCTTAGAAGTCTTTATCTTGCTTACATTGTGGAACCATCATACTAGGCAATTGGAGGAGGTCAGGTTTATCATTGTCATTATTTTTTTGTGGCTTTTTTAATTACTCCAAAGTAGTGTAAATAAAGCAGATTTGTTTAGGGCCCTTCAGTGTTGGGAACCAGCAGGGGCTTGCACTGGTCCACCCTACTTCCAAGAGTGCTGCATTAAGAACTTTGTTTTCACTCTGTCAATGGCTGACTCATTCATTGAATTTCTTAATAACTGTTTAAAGATATCTACCCTACTGGGGTGAGTCCCTGAACTTTCCTCTGTCTCTTCCCCTTTGTTTTCTTACAAATCTTCCCCTGTCTTCTTACAAATCACTCTGGCCTTCTTTGATATCTGCTGTTTCAGCATAATTTTTCCCTTTGAAAGCAGCTCTGAGGCTGGCAGCTGCAGGTTAGATTGACCAAAATCCAAGCATAGCTCAGCATCAGAATCTGCCCTATAATGTTGCTTCACTTTTATTTTTAACTTTTCCTATTGGGAGAAGCCCTGAAGCTACAGGTTGTAGCTTGGGCCAGCCAGAATCCAAGCTTGGCCCAGGGTGAGAGCCCAACCCAACACTTTCTCTTACTTTCATTTCAGCTACCGAAAATAACAATAACCAAAGGATTGTATAATTTGCTTTTTCCTTGGAATTTCTTTATGCACCCAACTGCCTGGGAGTTGGAGCCATCATTTCTAAATTCCATTAGTAATTTTTACCTCCAGTAATTGATTGCAGCACAGCAGCAATTCAATACCATGGCTGACCCTGTGGTCATCCAGGAATCAAAGGTTCATGATCCTCTGCCCTTTCATTTGTTCTCTTCCCAGACTCTTATGTTTCAGTGAGTCAAGTTATTCTAGTGAATTTCACTTCACCTGACACCAAATATTCACAGTTAAACAAACTACAAGATTTGAGAACATAATTCTCCAGATTGACAATTCTGCCCAAGTCTTCTGATACCAGCTGTGTGTTCAGGACTTCCCCAAACCACTATCAATTTTGATAATTTGCTAGAAGGACTCCTAGAACTCTCTGAGAGCTATTTTACACACAGTTATGGTTTAAAACAGGAAAATAATACATTAAAATCAGACAAGGAAAAGATACATAGAGCAGAGTCTGAGAGGCTCCAAACACAAGACTTTCATTGTCCTCCGGAAACATCATCCTCCTGGTATCAATGTATGAAAGTATACTTGGAGTATTGACAACCAAGGAAGCCCACCTGAGCTTCTGTGCCCAGGTTTCTCACGGGGCTTCATTACTCAGGCATGACCATGCCCACATGGTTGCACTCAGTTCCTCGCCCCCAATCTGCATTGCTCAGGCTGGTATCACTCGGCCCAAGAGGCCCACAAGGATCACTTTGCTAGCGTAAACTATCAGATGTGGTCAGTGGGACACACCAAGAGTCACCTAGTTATCATAAACTATCAGATGTGGTTCACAAGGGACCCTATGAAAGACACTCCTGTCACTGGAGAAATGCCCAAGAGTTTAGAGGATACCTTCCACAAGTCAGGGATAAGGCTAAACCTCTATTTGGGAAAAACCAAATTATTTGCTAAAAACTATGCAACTTAAAAATAGATAATGCATAAAATTTCACCTTTGAAATTGTGCTTTCATCAAATTCTCACTTTTCTTTACCACCTAGGGAACATAGACATAGTCTGCAAGTGGATGTGAGACACACTGATGGTTGATCATAAAACATCCATTCCCCCTCTGATCCTTGCTGACAGAACAGGAAATGGTGAAGGTGAAATGGAAAACAAAGACACATAACTAGAATCAGTAAAGCCAAAAATAAATTACTATTTTTTTGAGAAATTTGTGGCAAAGCTGATGAAGAAGAAATAGAGAAGGAGAAGGACGAGGAGGGGACAATTAACAGTATAAAGGAGACATGCAGAAATTTAAAAAGATAACATCAGGATATTATGAATAACTTTATGACAATAAATTTGAAAACTTACATAAGCTGATCAAATTCCTAGGAACCGAGTCAAAAAAGAAAGAGAAAAACATCATAGTCCCACAACCATTAAAGTGTTTGAATCTCTAGTGAAAAACCCTCCTGCAAACCAAAAACAAAAGTAAAATGAGTCCAGATATGTCTTTTCCTGCAAGCTCTACAAAACGTTTTCATAAGGAAAAAAAGAAAAGGAAAAAGAAAGAAAGAAAAACCCTCCGAGCTTACACACAGTGTTCCAAAGTACACAGAAAAAGAGAAAACGTTTTAGTAAAGCCAGCCCACACTCAAGGGGAGGGGAATTAGACTCCACCTCTTGTGGAAGGAATAGAAAAAAATTGTAGCTCATCTTTAATCTGCCACAAAGTGTTTGCTAAAATATTGTTACAAAGAAGACAGTGTCACTAGATCCCTTCATTTCTTTTCAAGAAAACAGCAAAGTAGAAGTATGCTTATGTGTGGCAGTCATGATTTAAATTAAACTTATAGTAGAATTTAATTTATTAATAGTGTTCTAAAATGAAGTGTTCAAACAAATGAAATGGCTAATCCTATATACAGCCTAGAGGGTAAGGGACTGAGCTGCGTGTACATTAGAGGGAATAGGCTCTGTCAGTCTATATGTCTTAACTGGCACTCTCATTGTTATCAATTCTTGCTGTGCTCTGCAATCTTCACCTTTGCCATATTTATGGGATGTATAATTTTCATAAAAATTCTTTTTATGCATAATGTATTTCCACTTAAGAATATTTTCTGTGTATATCTTTAATACATTTACACAGATTTTATTGTCTGTTTTAGACATTGTTTACATACAATATGCATGCAGTATTTGTTCAAATTAATGGAAGATGAATATTAAAAAGGTTTGAGGAGACAATAATCTGCTCTGTAATTTATAAGCTGAAATTATGTAAAACTGCTGTAATAATTGTGAGGAAGAAAAATACCTAAGCTTACTCAAAACCTTATGAAGACTATTTGCCAGTTTCTCTGGCTATTTTTATATCACTTGATCTCTACTAAATGATTTTGCTGCAACCGTTTATTTTGTAAATTTCATCTGCTATATCTATCAACACTGCAAAAACTGAGGAGATCCCCTTTGGCTCTAATTCAGTTTTTAGTTAATTCTATGCTCTGCATATGATTTTTTTACCTTACATGATTTTTTATGTAGGGATCTGGAGGGTCAAAACTAAGTTGGTGGCGGAATTCTGGTATGACATTTTGACTGACTACTCTGCAAAAGTCTTTTATATATGAGCTTGATAGGTTATTCCTAGTTTTTGAAAATTTACATCAAGGAAATGTTTTGGGGGATGGCTTATCAGTGTACAAGTATGCATTCTTATGTATTGGCCACTGCATAAAATTTTACAGTACTTTCCTTTCTGCATGCAATCTTTCTTTCATCCATTCAAGAAATTCTCACTGAACTCTTACAATGTTTCTAACACTATCATAGTCCCTGAAGGTAAAGTTGTGACTAAAAGTATTGCCAAATAAAATACACAATTCCCCGTTAAATCTGAATTTTAGTTAAACCACATACTTATACTAAAAATCATTCGATGTATATATGAAATTCAAATTTAGCTGAGTGTCCTGTAATTTTTTTATTTTATTTGTTTGATTATATATGTTCAATATGGCAGCCCTAGTACTAATAAATACAGTCCCTGATCCATTCTAATTTACTCTGCAGTGTGCAAGGCAGACACTAATCAAATAATCCTACAGATCCACGAAAAATTACAACTAAGATGGGTGTTACCAAGGATAAATTCAGTGCTGCTGAAGGAGAAAATAATTGGAAGAGAAAACTGGTCAGGAAGAGGTCATCAGGGAAGACTTCCCTGTGGAAGTGACGATGAACCTGAGATACTCTGGAAAAAGAAACACAGATGCTCTAACACTCTTTTTTTAAATGGCAGTTTAATACTCAAAGGAGTTTATGCCCAACTTTAATGGTATGAGCATCAGAAAGCCTGTCTGCTCACCATGATGCAGAAAACACTCAAAGTTTTGTTTCAGGGACTATGCAGCATCTTTACCACTCGGTATCTGACTGACAATAAAGCTGGAGCTACAAGTTTGCCTTGTGCGTAAAAATGGTACATTTCAATATGTAATTCCAAATACAATGGACATTTTCTGTGATCAGAAAAGGAAAGGTTGCTTGTTCCCTCAGGCCTCTGCTCCTGCCAGAAGTGAGAGGGAACATGCCTGGTTTTAAGTAGCAGGGAAGACATATTCAGCACAGGCTGGTGGGAAAGACACAAATCTACCATCTATTCATCTGGAGTTGCCAGACCAGAGTGTTGCAAGTGACCACACCCTACAGTGCCTCTGGCAGGATTAGGGCTCTCAGACTTTCCCAACTGCCCAGTTTGGGATTCTTCCCCCCTTTTCCAAGTTTCTATATGCATGCAATATTTAAAAATTGCCTTATATAGTTTGTATTAATTATTCAGATTTTGAATATGCTCATTGTTCATCATCATTATAATGACAAGAATAGCCCTGCTTCAGGTTTATATATTTATTCCCATATATTCAGGCTCCTTTAATTATCTTATTTATCTTTACGATGTCTGCAAAATAAAAGGGGGAGTGAATGTTTTTATCCTAATTTTTATGGATGTGGGAACTGGAGTTGCCTAAGTCATTTTTCTGACACTATTCACCTGGTCTCCTAGCTGTGTCTGGAGCTGTGTCAAGCTAGTCAGAAATGTTAAATATGAATTTCCTAACTGCAAAAAATTACCTTGAAAAAATAGTCTTAAATATAAACAATGTTAAATCACAAAGTATGCAGCCAGTTAGCTAAAACTTACCAAAACTAAACGGATACCTATAACTACATCAAAAATGCCACCTGTTAAATTATAAAGTTACATGATTGCCATTATCATGGCAAACAGAATCATTGACCACAGCACAATAGATCCCAAAGGTAGCATATACTGTAAATTTTACCAATAAACTATATGTATTAAAAATCTGAAAATGTGGGAATATTTAAGCTTTTTCTCCAAAATTAAAAAGTGTTTTTGAGGGCCGAGCCCGTGGCGCACTCGGGAGAGTACGGCGCTGGGAGCACAGAAGCACTCCCACCGTGGGTTCGGATCCTATATAGGGCTGACCAGTGAGCTCACTGGCTGAGCGTGGTGCGGCCGGTCTCAAAAAGGACAAAAAAAAAAAAAAAGTATTTTTGAGTTATAATAGAACTGCATATAGCTTCACAATAACCAATGCCTGTGAGAGAAAATTGAAGAAATATGTTTTTAATACTTCAACCTCTTTTTATAGTACTTTGTTTTCTAAATAACATTATTTTTCATAATTATGACTGTCTTATTTTGTGGTAATTTAATATGCATTTTACTCTGACTGATATAAATATCAAATATATAATAAATATATGGGTTTCATAACTATAAAATGCTGTATTCTTAAAAAGCAAAGGCCTTATTTTTCTAAGGAAACTTAGAAACTGGAATACATGTGGTTTATCAAAAAGCCAGCTTTTATTTTTTTCTGTTTTTTTAAATTTATGATTGACACATAATAATTGTACATATTTATTGGGTACAATGTGATATTTTAATACATATATACATTGTATAACAAATGGATGTAGTGAGTAATTGATATGCCCATTCTCTTAAACATTTATAATTTCTTTGTGATGAGAATATTCAAAAAACTCTCTCCTAGCTTTTTCAAGGTGTATAATATAATATTCTTAGCTCTAGTCATCCTACTATGCAACCGAGCAGCAGAAGTTGCTCTTCCTATCTAACTGCGGTTTTGTACCTATTGACTGATTACTCGCCATTGCCCCCGCCCCCCCCCCCACTGCCCTTTCCATCCTCTGGTAACCACTACTCTACCCTCTACTTCTATGAGAACAATTCTTTGGATTCCAGTTATGAGTGAGATCATATTTGTCCTTCCAACGCCTGGCTCATTTCACTTAACGTAATGTCATCCAGCTTCATCCAGGTTGTCACAAATGACAGGATGTCATTCTTTTTTATGGCTGAATAGTATTCTGTTGTGCATATATACCACATTTTATTTATCCATTCATTTGTTGATGGACACTTAAGTTGATTCCATATCTTGGCTATTATAAATATGGCTACAAAAAACATAGGCTTGTAGATATCTCTTCAGCATACTGATTTTGTTTCCTTTGGTTATATAACTAGCAGTGGGATTGCTGGATCATATGGTATAATTGCTATAGAATTCCCTGCTTATTATTGGAAACTCTATTTTTAGGCCTATCTTCTTACATAGGTCTCTATCTTCTTTCTGTGAAAAACGGACTGGTGAATTTCAACAATAATTATTTCTAGGGCATCGAGCTTCAAAAATAATTTTATACTTTTTTTTATTGCATATGTTCTTTGACAGTGCCTTGGGCACTGTGGACTGGAAGGGGCTCCAGGTTCTTCTCAGACACTCTCTGCCTGCAGCCAAAGCAACCTAACTTTTATCTGTACCAGGAAGGGTTTCAAATGAAAAGCTTTCCCCTACAAGCACTATACCATTAGAGGTTTTCGGGGAAGAAGTCTATCTCCCTGATGTACCCGATCGCCTGTGGCACTTTTTAAATCTGCATGTGAGATATGACCACCAGATTTTGAAATTACCTGAAACTTGAGGACTCTTTCGATAGTGAACATATCTGTGATTTATAAGAATGTGGTTTTGTACTTCAGATGAACTTGGACTTAAAAAAAAAAAAAGAATAGAGCTGCCACACACCATCCCTGCAGATCGTATAGAATTCTCTCAAGTAGCATTCTCATGTGAGAAATGAAGAGCACCCAAGCCCTCACTTTGTGACAAGCTCTAGGATTCCAGAGACTTTGTGTAAGCAGTTCCAGTGAATCCCTATCACAATCCTGTAACATTGGTATATTGGCTCTATTTTGTTGATGAGAAATCTAAAACTCAGAGATATACTAGAAGAGAGAGACCTTGCAGGTGGGCCCAAAAGAAGGCTTTATCGTGCATTCCCATTGCCCAGGTGGATCTTTCAGATTTATTTTGGACTGAGAAAAGTGGAGGAGTACTTAGTTGAAAAGAAGAACAGTAGAAATCTTTGGGAGTGAAAACGGATCTAACGGCAGCCTTCTGAATGGAAGCACAGAGAATGGATACTTAGATAATGGTGGTGGGTAAGAAGAGTGTCCAAAGTAGAAAA